AAAGGGAGAGAGAGAGAGAGAGAGAAGCGAGGAGGACTCCAATCCCTCGAGGGGGGAAAACGCGGGTTGCTTCACCCTGGGACTAGGCTTGGGCAAATCCATTAAGAGAAAAGAAGGACGGGAAGAAAAACTAAGGCAAGAGCGCCCTGTTTCTGCAGAAAAGTTTTGCAGAATGAGGTTTGCAAAATTGGATTGGAAACGTCAACACAGGGAAGGGAGAAGCAGAGCTGCCACAGCTAGGCCTCTGATACCATCTCTTGTAGCTAAACTGACTCGCTGAATAAGAATCATAGAATTCTAGACTTGGAAGACACCTCGTGGAAGATCACATTCAAAGCACCCCCGACAGATGGCCATCCACCCTCTGTTTAAAATCATCCACACACTCCAGGGAAGAGAGTTCCACTGCTGAGCAGCTCTCACAGTCAGGAAGTTCTTCCTGCTTACTTAGGCAATCCCTCGTTGTCTGAGTAGAAAAGTCTTCCAAGATCAGTGTCTTCATGGTGGGTCCGTGGGTGACTCTGGAGCCCTATTCTTGATCTGCATCTTCAGCATTGGTTCCGGAAGGTGGTCCCAGTTGGGATTGGCTTGATGCGCCTTCCTCTTGGCACGTTTTTCTCTTTCGCCCTCCATTCATGCCTCTTCAAATTCTACAGCATTGCTGGTCACAGCTGACCTCCAGCTGGAGTGCTCAAGGACCAGGGCTTCCCAGTTCTCAGTGTCAATGCCAGAGTTTTTAAGGTTGGCTTTGAGCCCATCTTTCAATCTTTTTTCCTGCCCACCAACATTCTGTTTTCTGTTCTTGAGTTCGGAGTGGAGCAACTGCTTTGGGAGACGGTGATCGGGCATCCGGACAATGTGGCCGGTCCAGCGGAGTAGATGGCGGAGGACCATCGCTTCAGTGCTGGTGGTCGTTGCTTCTTCCATCACGCTTACATTTGTCCGCTTGTCTTCCCAAGAGATTTGCAGGATTTTCCTGAGGCAGCGCTGATGAAATCGTTCCAGGAGTTGCATGTGACATCTGTAGACAGTCCACATCTCGCAGGCACAGAGCAGGGTTGGGACGACAATAGCTTTATAAACAAGCACCTTGGTATCCCTACGGATGTTTAATGTTCATTGGAATCTCCTTTTCTGTCATTTGAAGCCATTGTAGTTTGAGGCCAAGTTTTCGCACAGCAGGTTAACCGCCAGTTGCAGTAAATCTTGCCAACCGAAAGATTGACAGTTCAAAGCCCGGGTCAGGGTGAGCTCCTGCCCTTTAGCCCAGCTTCATTGGCTTTTTGGATGATCTCAACTCTTGTTATCTACTGGGTAAACAATTAAACATGGTGTATCCATGCAGTTATCTAGTTTAAGTATAAAATAACTCTTTCCTAACTGTAGTAATAATAATAATAATAATAATAATAATAATAATAATAATATTATTATTATTATTATTATTATTATTATTATTATTATTATTGGGATCTGCACGCATTATTCGCCAATATATCACAAAATCCTAGACACTGTCCGATGTGTGATCCAATACAACAGCCATCAGAGTGTCTGCTGTGGACTCGTCTTGTTGTATTTTAAATAATAATAATAATAATAATAATAATAATAATAATAATAATAATCTTTATTTATACCCTGCCACCATCTCCCCGAGGGGAACTCGGGCGGCTAACATGAGGACAAGCCCAAAGATACAATACAGCAAAATAAAATACAAAATGCAAACAACAAAAAACAACAAAAATTACATCACAATAAATACATACAGTAGCAGAATAGAGTAAACAAAACAAAATAACATAATATAAAATCGGACACAATGGGCGGGCCACATGGACAAGCTAAAATGATAAAACCCTGGATGAGGTAGGAGTAGAAAAAGTGCATAGGAGAGAAGCCCAAAAGGATGAACTGTGGGGTTAGGCTTTCAGTTTAGGATGGGAGAAAGTGCATAATAGGGGCAACACTGTAGGTGGAACAAACAGAAGTGGGGTGAATGGTCACTCTCCAAAGGCACATCGGAAGAGCCAAGTTTTCAGATCTTTCTTAAAGGCTGCTAGGGTGGGGGCTTGCCTAATCTCACCAGGTTGTGAATTCCAAAGTCAGGGGGCCACAGCGGAGAAGGCTTTCTCCCTTGTTCCCACAAGTCGTGCTTGTGAGAGAGGAAGGGGCGAGAGGAGGGCCTCCCCAGAGGATCGAAGGGATCGTACAGGTTGAGGGAGGGTTTTAGCTCCTGTCTGAGTGTTTTCTTTAAGCAACTTGGGGACTTGTCACAAGATCCCCAAATAACAAGGTCACAACCAGTACAAGAAAAGCAAAGGAGGGCCCACAGCTTGGATAAAGCAGGATGGGGCTAATGTGTGGGTCTACTAACATTGTTCGCTAGGAATGGGAGTCTGAGGACATCTGGTAAACATGTCACCCAAACTCCAATTTAAAGTAATCAGGATGGTTCCTGTGAAGCAGTTCAGGTTACGTTAATGGAAAGTTGAAAGTTACCTAGTGATCCTGCCAACCCAACAGAGATCCACACCGAGATCTGGCCTGATTCCACTTCCCACAATGCCACTCAATTTCCCCTTTCGCATGGAAACTCCCAGGTTTCCGTTTGCCAGCCGCGTTTAGGCGGCGGCAAATGTTCAGCGAGATCCAGCTTGGAAAAATCCTGCTCGGCAGCAAAAGCAGATTGCAGGGGGAATTTGAGCACTCGAGATTGGACGGCATCGACTCCTTTTTGTCCTGCCGCCGGTTTCCCGAAAGCCATCCGTTTGCGAGACTAATGGCCGCGCTCAAAGCCAGGATGGCTGCCCTCCGTCTTCTCCTTGTGTAACTTTGCCAGAGTCCTTGGAACTTGCCAAATTCGGTCATGCCTGCTTAGCTCGCGCGACTGATTGTGCCAGAAAAGAAAATAAGACACAGATGTATCTGAGCGCTTGGAGATGCCAGTAAGAGAGACAGCTAATGGCTTCATTTCGACCCTCCCCTACCAGCTGGGCACAGGTGGGGAGGGGGATAATGAGGTGCCTCTCCCTAATCAAACTCAATTATTTACTCCTCTCCATAACTACAAAGACATTCCACTCTCAGCTTGGAATATTAAACGTTCCGTGGGCCACTTCCAACCTCTGGGCACTGATAAACAAACTTGGGCAGCAGAGGAGAGTTTGCCTTGGCAGGACTTGGAACGGTGGCAAAGTTTGCTGGAACTGGGCTCCCAAAGCCTCATCCATGGCTCTTGGCTTGGCCAACTGGGTCACGTTGCAGACTAGATTCATCACAATCTGTGGGCGCAAACCCTAGGTATCTAACATGGTTATGCATCTGTAGCAGTGTTTCTCAATCTGGGGTCAGGACCACCGGGGGTGTTGCGAGGGGGTGTGAGAGGGGGTCACCAAAGACAATCAGAAAACCTAGATTTTGAGGGTCTTAGGAACCCCTTTGAGGATTTCTCCACCTCTCCTTCTCTTCCTTTTTGGAAACAGATGGCAAATCCTCCCACTAAAAGCCCTCCTTCAATGTGATTGGCCAGCCTCTCCACCAAGGGGAGGGCTGCTTCTGAGACTTCAAGCGGGGATGGGAGAGCAGGCGTGATCGGCACATGGAAATGTGGTGCATGTGTGTGGGATGAGGGAAAGTCCCTTCAAGCAATGGTGGTTTTGTGTTGGAAGTTTGTCCCAATTCTATCGTTGGTGGGGTTCAGAATGCTCTTTGATTGTAGGTTAACTATAAATCCCAGCAATGACAACTCCCAAATGTCAAGTTCTATTTACCTCAAACTCCACCAGTGTTCACATTTGGGTATATTGAATATTAATGCCATTGTTTGAGTCCACAGTGCTCTCTGGATGTAAGTGAACTACAACTCCAAAACTCAAGGTCAATGCCCACCAAACCTTTCCAGTATGTTCTGAAGGTCATGGGAGTTCTGTGTGCCAAGTTTGGTCCAATTCCATTATTAGTGAAGTTCAGAATGCTCTTTGATTGCAGGTGAACTATAAATCCCAGAAACGACAATTCCCAAATGTCAACGACTATTTACCCCAAACTCCACCAGTGTTCACATTTGGGAGTATTGTGTAACAATGCCAAGCTTGGTCCTAATCCATCTTTGTTTGAGTCCACAGTGTTCTCTGGATGTAAGTGAACTACAACTCCAAAACTCAAGGTCAATGCCCACCAAACCTCTCTAGTATGTTCTGAAGGTCATGGGAATTCTGTGTGCCAAGTTTGGTTCAATTCCATTGTTGATGGAGTTTAGAATGCTCTTTGATTGTAGGTGAACTATAAATCCCAGCAACTACATCTCCCAAATATCAAGGTCTATTTCCCTCAAACTCCACCAGTGTTCACATTTGGGCGTATTGTGTATTAATGCCAAGCTTGGTCCTAATCCATCGCTGTTTGAATCCACAGTGCTCTCTGGATGTGGGTGAACCACAACTCCAAAACTCAAAGTCTATGGCCACCAAACCTTTTCTGTATGTTCTGTAGGTCATGGGAGTTCTCTGTGCCATTGGTTCAATTCCATCATAAGTTGGAAAATATACATTTTTCAAGTGTAACGCCAGTCAAATCCCTTTGGAGTGAGAAGGGTGGGATATAAATATGGCAAATAAATACATAAATACATAAATGTTTTGGATAGCATTGGGAAGGGTCAACACCCCTGTGCCCCTGTTCAGATTTTATCTCACTTTTTGTCCCTGTGATAATTGGGTTTTTTGGAAAATTTGGTTTGTTGTGGAAACAAAGACTGGAGATAATGTTTCACTGGAGACCCCTTTCCCCCATGATAACAACTCTTTCAGGAGTGAATTTCCCTTCTAAGGGGTAGATTTCTCTCACTTCCTGTAGTTTCACCCCTGTTCTTAACTATGAGTCATTTGTAAGTTGGATTTCTGAATATTCCACCTATATACAGAAATGGAAGGCTGTTGCACAAAAAGCAGAGGTAACACGGAAAGCGGGATATAAAAAGCCAGCATGGGACTCACATTCGGACAAAGAGCGACTGCTTGGCTGCCAAGCCAGGGGACGAGTACTTCTCCACCAGGGCCAGCGTGCTGAAGCCAAACTTGTGAATCGGTTCGTTACAATCCAAAGGCGGGAAATCTGTGTCGACCTCGCCATCGTCCTCAGCGATGTGAAGACAGTATGCACTGACGTTGTCGCTGCAGGACAAGAAAGTGCACACATTAGAGCTGCAAGATGCCAGAGAGGAGAACATCCAACACTTTGAAAACAATGAGATTTCAGATTGGTACATTTGTTGGGGATGGGAGAATATGGTTTCAAAGGGGATTGGTATGGCTTGGAAGAAGCCATGCTTGCTAACGCTCAACCTGGGGGTCAGAACCCTGGGGGGGGGGGGGGAATCACAAGGGGGTGTCAGAGGGATCTCCAAAGACCATCAGAAACACAGTATTTTCTGTTGGTCATGGGGGTTCTGTGTGAGATGTTTGGCCCAACTCTATCATTGACAAGGTTCAGAATGCTCTGGTTGTAGGTGAACTATAAATCTCAGCAACTACACCTCCCAAATGTCAAGGTCTATTTCCCCCAAACTCCACCAGTGTTCACATTTGGGAATATTGAGTATTCGTGCCAAGTCTGGTCCAAATTCATCATTGTTTGAGTCCACAGTCGTCTCTGGATGTTGGTGAACTACAACTCCAAAACTCAAGGTCAATGCCCACCAAACCCTTCCAGTATTTTCCTAGGTCGTGGGAGTTATGTGTGCCAAGTTTGGTTCAATTCCATTGTTGGTAGGGTACAGAATGCTCTTTGATTGTAGATTAACAATAAATTCCAGGAACGACAAGGGTTGAATGAAAAGTAATGCCTCCACCTTCGTAACTCCTCAACAGATGGCAGTACTGGTATGCGGCAGGTACTGGCTTATTCAGTAGACTCTCCTCTATAGTTCCATTGTGGTAGGAAGCCTTAGCATTGAACGGTTGTGTTGTTAAAGTGCGAAGTATGGAACCCTGTGCAGACGGTCAGTCAATGTGACTTAAGCACCGTATGTGGCAGGTACTGGCTGGTTCAGTAGATTCTCCTCTACAGTCCCATTTTGGCAGGAAGCCTTAGCATTGAACAGTTGTGATGTTAAAGTGCGAAGTATGGAACCCTGCACAGACGGTCGGTCAATGCGACTTAAGCAGCGTGCAGTCATTCAATTCTTGACAGCAGAAGGTGTCACGCCAAAAGGGATTCATCAGAGAATGCAAGCTGTTTATGATCATTGTGTTGATGTGAGTACTGTGCGTCATTGGGCAAGTAAGTTTAAAGATGTTGAGGTGGTAACATCTGAGTTGCGTGACAAAGAGTTTATGGGGATTGTATTTAAAGATGTTGCGGTGACACGTTCTGCTGTCAAAAGTTCAATGACTGCACGTTGCTTAAGTCACATTGACCGACCGTCTGCACAGGGTTTCATACTTTGCACTTTAACAACACAACCGTTCAATGCTAAGGCTTCCTGCCAAAATGGAACTATAGAGTAGAGTCTACTGAACAAGCCAGTACTTGCCACATGCGTTTCTTAAGTTGCATTGACAGACCGTCTGCGCAGGGTTCCATACTTTGCACTTTAACAACACAAATGTTCAATGCTAAGGCTTCCCGCCAAAATGGAACTGTAGAGGAGAGTCTACTGAACAAGCCAGTACCTGTCATATGCATTGCTTAAGTCGCATTGACCGACCGTCTGCGCAGGGTTCCATACTTCGCACTTTAACAACACAACCGTTCAATGCTAAAGCTTCCCACCAAAATGCAACTGTAGAGGAGAGTCTACTGAACAAGCCAGTACCTGCTGCATGCGTTGCTTAAGTCGCATCGACCGACCATTTGCGCAGGGTTGCATACTTCGCACTGTAACAACACAACTGTTCAATGCTAAGGCTTCCTGCCAAAATGGAACTATAGAAGAGAGTCTACTGCCCTCCGTCTTCTCCTGCCGAATACCAGTACAGGAGGCATTACTTTTCATTCAARCCTCATAGAGCTCCCAAATGACAAAATCACGGCCATACAGCCTGGAAGACTCACAGCCATGAAAGKCTTTGACAACACCTTTTGAACTGAAGTGGCTCAATGCTACGGAATTCTGGGAGTTTAGCCTTCACTGCCAAAGAGTACTGATGCCTTGCCAAACTACAATTRCCATGATTCCACAGCATGTAGTCAAGTTGTGTGAAACTGCATTAATTCTGCAGTYTAGATGCAAGTTTCAAATCCCTTAAGTTACAGAAAGCCACTGGCTTTGTATCTCAAAGWAATAAAAGTGGGATATACAATAATAATAATAATAATAATAATAATAATAATAATAATAATAATAATAATAATAATAATAGTAGCAATAATAATAATAATTCTCAGGCTTAGAAGAGTTGCCGAAACCACCAAAAACAGCAGCAGCAGGTTTCTAAACTTGCACAGTCCAAATTTGGAAGTTTTAATTGCCTGACGGATGCCTAAATTAATTAATAGCAAAGCACATGCTAATTGTTTAATTGGTCGGTTGATCTATATAGATCATTTTTGGGGGGTGGTGGTGGAATTAAATGAGTTGATTTACCAAGGTTATTGATTGGATGCGACAGTGAAATATTCTGCCGACAATCGGATTTGCAAGCCCCCCAATTAATCCGCAAACCTCGGGTTGCAACTCGGCTCACCGAGAGTGCTTACTCCAAGCAAAAGGTATTTATTATATCAAAGAGGTAATAAAGACATATTAAAGCTGCTGTAACCTGGAGGCTTGATAAACGGATGGTTTTACAAGGAAGGGATCCCACTCTCTCAGTCACTGAAAATACCCAATTACCGTATATACTCAAGTATAAGCTGACCCGAATATAAGCTGAGGCACCTAAAACTGGGAAAATGTATTGACTCGAGTATAAGCCCAAGGTTGGAAATCCACCAGCTACGGGTAAATTTCGAAATAAATATAGATACCAATAAAATGACATGAATTGAAGCATCAGTAGGTCAAATGTTTTTGAATATTTACATAAAGCTTCAATTTAAGAGAAGACTGCCCAACTCTAACTATACCCTTATTCTGACCTTCTTCAATGTAGATGTGCTTACATATCCTTCCAATAATAATAGAGTAAAATAATACATGTAATAAAATAATAATAATAGAGTAAAATAATGGAAATGCAAAAATAACAAAAATAGAGTAAAATAATAATAAAAGTAATAATAGAATAAAATAATGGAAATGTAATCATAGTAATAGAGTAAAATAATAATAGTATTAGATTTAATGCTGCAAACTGGAAACAACAGTAAATGGATAACAACTGGGAAGATATATTTGATACAGAAAGATGTAATAATAGAGTAAAATAATAATAGTAATAATAGAATAAAATAATGGAAATGTAATCATAATATTAATAGAGTAAAATAATAATAATAATAATAATAATAAATAGAATAAAATAATAAATGTAATAAAATAATAATAGAGTAAAATAATCCAAATGTAATAATAACAATAAAGGAGTAAAATAATACATGTAATAAAATATTAATACAGTAAGGTAATGTAAATGCAAGAATAATAGTGATAATAGAGTACAATAATAATATAACAATAATAAATGGATTAAAATAATAAATGTAGTAATAATAATAAATAGAGTAAAAACTAAATGTATTAATAATAATAATAAAGAGAAGAATAATAAGTGTAATAATAATAAATAGAGTAAAGTAATAAATGTAATAAAATACATTTATGTAATAATAATAATAATAGTAATAATAGAGTAAAACAATACATGTAATAAAATTAAATATAATAATAGAGTAAAATAATATATACAACAGCAATAATAAATGGAATAAAATAATAAATAGAGTAATAATAATAGAGTAAAAAATAAATGTAATAATAACAATAATAAAGAGAATAATAATAAGTATAACAATAATAAATAGAATAAAGTAATAAATGTAATAAAATACATTTATGTAATAATGATAGAGTAAAATAATAAATGTAATAATAATAAATAGAGTAAAACAATAAATGTAATAAATTATTAATAATATTTATTTATTTATTTCAAATATTTATATCCCACTGTTCTCAACCCCCAGGGGGTAATAACAATAATAAAGTAAAATAATGTAAATGTAATAATAATAATAATAATAATAACAGAGTAAAATAATAATCTTGACTTGAGTATAAGCTGAGGGGGGCTTTGTCAGCCTAAAAAAGGGCTGAAAAATTCGGCCTATACTCGAGTATATATGGTATTTGATCCAAGTTCTACTTATTGTTTATTGTGTGGATGGATGAACTTCATCTTAACTTTGTATTACAGTTACCCCTCTATATTTGAAAGAGTTAGGGCCACAGGACCGCCCATGAAAGTGGAAACCCCCAAATTATTCTCCCTAGGACTCTCTTGACCACTTTATGGTCAACTTCTGACAACAGATTTGTATTAGAGGATGTCTAGATTGCTAGAGAAGTGTTGCCTTGGGTTAGCAAAATAAGATGGTGTTTTATTTGTGATTTTTCCACATTTGCAGGGGTCCTGTGCCCATAATACCAGTGAAAATATAGGGCTGGGTAGCAAATCCAGTTGCATCGGAAGGTCGTGATACACTCCCTTTTTTGACCCTTGGCCATTTAAAGAGTAGTTTAAAACCCCGTTGGACATAGAAATGTTAGTCATATCGGTGACACCCGACTCCCTTGCGATTTATCTTTCTTTAAAAACAAACAAACAAGACACCCGAAGGGGGGGAAGAAAAAGGGTAGAGCATCTTGAAATGATGATTCATTTCTATGACACGGGCTTCATATGCTTGTCATTACACAGAACCCGGTAATTTAATTGAAAGAGAAATAGATATAGATGTATGCATAGCTCAGAAGGGAATATTGATAAATGCGGAGGTGTTCCGGCAAGATTTATCTGTTAAAAAAATATATTGATGTGGAAATCCATTTCATTATGCAAAGATGGCTGCAGAGGAAGGAAGGGAAGGGGAGTTGGGTGAAAAGAGAAAGAAAAAAGAAGGGAAGGGAAAAGACAGAGAAGGGAGGGAAAGCAAGGAAGTAGGAAAGAAAGGGCCCTACTTGAGCTTGGGTTCACGGCCTTCGCTTGTGTACTGCCAGCAGATGAGGCCGATCAGGTCGTGCACCTTGGCGTTCGCGATGGTCACCACCGTCATGGGCTGCAGCTTGTCCTGGTTCGCATGGAGCGGGAGGTAGACATCGATGATTTTGGTGGCCGTCGTCCCTATGTGGCCCTGTCAGAAGAAGAAGATTCACACTGAATTGGACATTTCGGCAAAGAAAGGCCAACGGAAGATGCATTCCAATCTGGAACAGAGACACCCCATATACTCATGTATAAGTCTTGAAACATCTATCTATCTATCTATCTATCTATCTATCTATCTATCTATCTATCTATCTATCTATCTATCCGTTTATGATGATTATCAGTTTTATCTATGTTGCAACCCACCTCGAGTCATTAGGAGAGGCAGGTAAGGAATAATAATAATAATAATAATAATAATAATAATAATAATGCTGCAAGAAGATCGCGCAGACAGACTACAAGCAGAGGCACAACACCGTTACTCAGATGATTAATTGGAACTTGTGCCACAAATACCATCTTTCTGTGACAAAGAACTGGTGGGATCACAAGCTTGAAAAAGTTAATGTTAGTACACACAATAGCAAAATACAGATTAAGCATTAAAACAATATAAAACCACAATAGGAACAATAAAAACCAACATCAACGTTATTAGCGTCTCCTAGTTTAAAATGTTGTCCAAATTCCATTTCCTATGTCAGTTACTCTGCATTTGTAAACGCTTGCTCATATAACCATGTCTTAACTTGTCTCCGAATCGTTAAGAGTGAGGGAGCTGATCTGATCTCCTTAGGAAGGGTGTTCCATAGTCGAGGGGCCACCACAGAGAAGGCCCTGTCTCTTGTCCCCGCCAAACGTACTTGTGATGAAGGTGGGATCGAGAGCAGGACCTCCCCAGACAATCTTAAAAGTCTTAGATGGTTCATAAGGGGAGATGTGTTCAGACAGGTAAATTGGGCCAGAACAGTTTAGGGCTCTATAGGCTAAAGCCAGCACTTTGAATTGTGCCCGGTAGCAGACTGGCAGCCAGTGGAGCTGGCGGAGCAGAGGAGTTGATCCGCTGGATCATTTGAAACTTCCAGACAGTCTTCAAAGCCAACCAACTTTGTGACTTCCGAATTCAGACTGACGGTTTTGGAGCACAATAATCCTGACCTCACAATCGTGGAAAAAAACGAAGTATGGATCGTCAATGTTGCAATCCCAAGCGACAGTAGAATTGATGAGAAGCAACTGGAAAAGCTGGCACGATACGAGGATTTAAAGATCAAACTGCAAAGACTCTGGCACAAGCCAGTCAAGGTTGTCCCAGTGGTGATTGGCACACTGGATGCAATGCCTAAAGACCTTGGCCCTCACTTAAACACAATTGGTGCTGACAAAATTACCACCTGTCAGCTGCAAAAGGCCACCCGTACTGGGATCTACACGCATTATTTGATGATACATTGTAAAGTCCTAGACACTTGGGAAGTGTCTGACGTCTTCTCCAATACAGCAGCCAGCATAGTGATCTTGTTTGCTGTGTACTAATCTTGTTGGGTTTCAAATAATAATAATATAATAATAATAATAAAGTCTAGTAAAGGTGTTCCAATGGTGATCGGCACACTGGGTGCAGTGCCTAAAGACCTTGGCCTGCACTTAAACACAATCAGCGCTGACAAAATTACGACCTGCCAGCTGCAAAAGGCTGCTCAGATCTGCATGCATTATTCGCCGATACATCACACAGACCTAGACACTCGGGAAGTGTCTGACGTGTTCTCCAATACAACAGCCAGCATAGTGATCTTGTTTGTTGTGTACTAATCCTGTTGTGTTTCTAATAATAATAGAGTCGAAATATGTATGTACCGTACTGCCCTAAAAATAAAGCCAGTACTTATATGAATTGTTGCTCGAAAAGACACCTTAGGGCTCATTTTCAGGGGCTTTATTTTTTCCATGTGCAAAGATCTACATTTATTCGTGTATGACAATCTACATTTCTTCGTTTCTTCATGTACAAAAAAACCCTACATTTATTCGAACCCAGTCCTGTCATCTTCTTCTGGAACATCGTCATAATATTTTGTCAATAATATTCCTTATATTTATATTATATATTAATATGATGATTTTATCATTCAATACGTCCACAGTGTGTCGCAATGAATGTACTACCAGTAAAAGAGTCTGCCTGACTGACTATCTTAACGGGGGCTTATTTTTGGGGTACGGCTCATATTATGAGCATCCTGGAAAATCATACAAGGGCTTATTTTCTTGTTAGGTCTTATTTTTGGGGGAGCAGAGTATCTATGAATGTATTTTCAGGGAAACAGGGTATCTATGAATATATTTTTGTGGAACCAGGGTATCTATGAATGTATTTTCAGGGAAACAGAGTATATAAGCATGTGTTTTGGGGGGAAAAGAGTACCTATGAATGTATTTTTGGGGAAACAGAGTATCTATTAATATATTTTCAGAAAAACAGAGTATCTATGAATATATTTTCAGGGAAACAGGGTATCTATGAATATATTTTTGGGGAATCAGGGTATCTATGAATGTATTTTCAGGGAAACAGAGTATCTAAGCATGTATTTTTGGGGGAAAAGAGTACCTATGAATGTATTTTTGGGGGGAACAGAGTATCTATGAATGTCTTTTCAGAGAAACAGGGTATCTATGAATGTATTTTTTGGGGAAAAGAATATCTATGAATATATTTTTGGGGAAATAGAGTATCTATGAGTGTATTTTCAGGGATGAAGATTCAAGTCAGGGGAATTCTGCTTCTCCCTGTAGGAAATCTGACTTGGAAAATGCAGGGCTTCAGAGAAGCCAGAAACTGCAATATTAGATAAGGAGTCAGGTGAAGAACTAAGTGATACAAAAAGCTCCCAGGAAAAAAACACCTGGTGCTACGAAGATCAACAAAGGTCTTTGTTTACAGGTCAAAGCAGAAAATAGGCATCTTTGGCCTGAGCGATTGCGTGGGAAAGTTCAGGAGAGAGCGGCTCAGGACTTCATGTCTGCCATGGCAACCATGGGGCTGTCCCAACAAATATCTGGCCCCACCCACTGTGCTGGACATACATTTGACTTGGTTTTCTGTCAGGGATGGGGGCAGAGACAGGGTGCGCGCGTGTGCGAGGAGTCTATATCCATCTCCTCCGTATGCCATAGCAACATCCTGACACTATCTGATCTAGATTTAGGCTTCAAACGTGCGCCCACCCAACCTATCTGCAAAGCGTGGAGCTATACCATTAAGATGCGTCCCGCCCCCAAGGAATGAGCTTAAATGGATCGCAACGCGAACTCTGACGGCTCTTGGACGACGATTATATCCCAGCCACCTCGGCATGTACCCCCCCTCTTTTACTTTCCTACCTTCCTACGTGACCATAGTCGAGAGAGCCATTGGTCGCTCTCTGGATCAAATGAGGAATGATGCAGCCAGGGCAATTAGACATTGATCGCTCACGCAGAACGTCCCACTCCTCTAATTAGTAGCCGCAGCCCTAAACCAGCCTCCTTGGTTTTACTTCGAGGAGCCCTGGCCAGTGGATGAAAGCGAAGCGAAGCACGAGGAACTAAAGAAGTGATGTCAATATCCGCAACACTGTTTGATAGTCCTTCTATTCAAAGCGGCCATATGCCGCACGGCAATAAATGCCGCCAAAAGAAAAACTTTCTGTTTACGACGCGCCACTATGCGTCTGCATAGGAACTCGTTCCGGACCAAGCAGAGAAGTTGTTGCCGCGATTTTTCAGATGCGTAACCTGTTAACTCCACCACCCTCTAGGTGGGCAGCCCTGAATCAATTCGTGGCACGCGAATGCGAAGCATAGATTAGCTCGGTTACTTTAGCCGCAGCACACAAGCACGCCTATGACATCGCTTCTGAGCTGCGACAATCATCGTAAATGCCATGTCTCTCGTGCCGATCGTACGACAGCAGCACCATGCTGGTCCTAATTATATTGATGATTCTTTCAGTTTACTGTTAGAAGCCTCTGCAGTCACTAGCTGGACAAGATTCACTTGCGGGAAACTGAGGCCTACACGTCCATCATAGACCCACTAGACCCATCCCCTTGTGCTAGCTGAAGATCCGCCACTCGCGACGAGCAGGGGATTTGCGGAAACACAAAGCTGCAGATAGGTAAGACTTGTGGATGGTTAATCGGCTCCCTCCTGGGAAGGCAAGATTACCCAGCGCACAGCCTAAACACGGCTATATTATAAAACCGCCTGGTTGAGAAACCATCCATTAGACACCCCACTAATTAAGCCACAACTTATCGGGTCTAAGTTCCAACCACCCCTATTTTTTGGACGCAAATGATCATGGACAAACAGTGGTGCGCCTCACAGAACTCCAGAGTTAATAACTTGCAAGAGACACGGATGCTATCGGATCTAGCACAGTCTGGTTCTCAGAACCGTGGACACTGCGAACTTCGAGAAGACGTAATCTATGATCGCCTAACGCTGAGATAGATAACTGAGCGCCTGAGAGAGCTAAGACAGAGGAGGAGTGATGTATCTAAGCTATGAGTGCCTACCCTGAACCGACCTCAGCAGGCACCTTCAGATAACCGTCGGGACCACGGATAGCCAATCTGGAAGCGCCTGCGCGAAAAGAGAAATAGAAGAGCATTGGGGCGGGGGTTTTTGGGGAAGGACCCCAGAGACCGGAGGCACTTATTTGCAGTGGCTCCAGTCCTTCCTCGAGGTCGCTCCCAGAAGGTGTTAGGGGACTCCTGCTCGACTCCATGGCCATTGTACTGTGGGTCCCGCAGGGTTCAGTACTGTCCCCTATGTTGTTTAACATATACATGAAGCCGTTGGGAGAGATCATCCAGAGTTTCGGGGTGCGGTGTCATCTGTACGCAGATGATGTCCAACTCTGTCACTCCTTTCCACCTGCTACTAAGGAGGCTGTCGAGGTCCTGAACCGGTGCCTGGCCGCTGTAACGGTCTGGATGAGGGCGAACAAACTGAAATTAAATCCAGACAAGACAGAGGTACTCCTGGTCAGTCGCAAGGCCGAGCAGGGTATAGGGTTACAGCCTGTGCTGGACGGGGTCGCACTCCCCTTGAAGGCGCAGGTTCGCAGCTTGGGTGTGATCCTGGATTCA